CTGATTGTCATTTCAGATCCAAAGTTTTTACATTATAATCGACGATATCATGGATGAATCGAAAACCCGTCGAGGCAAGCCGTGCTGGCATAAAAATGTAATTAATTTGAATATTATTGTATTATCACATTTAATGTTTACCACTTTTTATCCCAAGTTGAAGAATGTTCAAGACTAAAAATGCTGGTTTTCCGCCCTCCTCTTCACTACACTATCTAAGTTTTCATATCGGTTATGTTACGAGAAATGCCCACATGATTGATATCCCAAAAAAACGTTTGAATTGAAGAAACAATCTCGGTTACTTTTTCAGGCTGACATCGGCTTAGGTGCCATCAATGATGCTTTATTGCTGGATGTATTTGTTGAAGATATAATTAGGTAAGCCGCACGAAGAACTTTGGGTCTCTATTGCTGCCTTCGCCAGATCAATTCGTTACAAAAACCTCTCTCTATAGAGTTTCAATTTTTGACTATATATTTTCTTGTTTGAATCAATTGTTACAGAGAGTTGTATCCAGACCATCCGCAGGTAGATCGTTTGTGCGATGCTTATCGAAAGGTATGTGCTTCTCGTATTTTCGCTGCCAATGGTGTTCAGGGACCAGGGACCAGTTCTCGCCTTCTTTCATATTGTCCAGTCAGAATAGTTGCTAACATCTTTACCACTTTTGCAGTCTAAACGCATGACCTTAATTGGTCAACTCCTTGACACTGCATCTGTTAGGGATATGAATGCTTTCAACTGGGATCGGTGAGATCTTAGAGACATCTCTATCGGTAATATCGATTAGATATTGTGATATTTAGATACGAACAACTCGTGGCATTTAAAACTTCGCACTACACTTATTTCCACCCTATCGAAATGGCCATGCTTGTGAGTGACCGCTTAGAGAACCATCCATTGCTAAGACAACTTGCGTACCGAATAGGATTTTTGTTCCAATCACAGGTGAGGAGAGCTTATAAGCTCTGTAATTTCTTGCCCGGTGAAATTCATATATTTACTCAATATCTAAAGCAACATTGTAACTTAGGATCAACAGTTTTATTTGGGTGTGTAAACTATGCAAATTTTCTTCTTCAGTAGGAAGTTTTGAAAAGCAGCTACAAAAAAGCTCTCAGCGAAAATTGGCCCTAACTTTTTTTAAGCCATGCTCTAGTTATGTAATTTCTTGCTTGCCATAGACATAATCTTTGAAACGAACTCTAATGCTTTAAACTTATTTGTTTTTCGTGAAACGCGGTCATACTTGTACTAAAGGCCAGTTCTCGCAGGAAAAGTCATAATTGGAATCATCTTTTCTACAGGACGATGCTTTGGACGTTTTTGGTGACCCTACTGTGACCGGAAAAGTTGGCACTGATATTCAAGATGGGAAGTGCACGTGGATTAGCGTTCGAGCTGTGCAGAAACTACAAGGAAAAGCTGAA